TTTAAAGTGCAACCATTAATATATATAGTAAATTCCTTTGTATTTGAGCTTGTTTCTGGAGTATTGGAGAGAACTAATATCTTTGCAATTTTTTTATCCACTAGCAAGAATATGTTTTTATTTATTCAGGCCTTATTTGTTTAAAACAGGCTTATAGTTTACTTTTTATTTCCCACTTCTTTCTTTTTTTCTTTTCCAGTTCTTACTAGATGTTGTCTAGAGACTTTACAGTGTTTTGCTCTTAATAAATTGGACCATCTAATGCCCCACCAGTGATAATTTTGTTTGTTGCTGATGTATATTAATGTCACACCCATTAATTGTAGATTATATTTACATATTGTAATAGTTTTGAAAGTGATTCTCTTGGGTTTTTCAGGTAAATATATAATAAAATGAGAGGTTCCCTGGTGGCTCAGTTGGTTGAGCATCCGACTTTGGGTCAGGTCATGATCTCATGGTTAGTGAGTTTGAGCCCCACATCAGGCTGTGTGCTCACAACTCACAGCTCGGATCCTGGAGCCTGCTCTGTCTCTGTCTGTCTGCCCCTCCCCTGCTCATGCTCTGTCTGTCTGTCTGTCTCTCTCTCTCAAAAACAAATTAATGTTAAAAAATGTCAATTTATGTTTTCTTAATATTAATGTCTTTTTTCCTCTCATACAGAGAAATGCTAATTAATGGTGGAATACTTTCCTCATTCCATCCTTTTTTTGGTAAATAACTTAAAATATTTTCCCTTCAGCAATGATATTTGCTCTGTGTCTGAAAAAGTTTTCTTTTGTTCCTTACTTCTTAAGAGTTTTAATCCAAAGAGTGCTAAGTCAGATAAAGGGAATCGGGGGGATTTAATCAAATGATCATGCCATTCTTTTAACTTGTATCTAATAATAAATTATAATGGATTTTTGGGGCACTTAGGTGCTTCAGCCAGTTAAGCATCTGACTCTTGATTTCGGCTCAGGTCATGATCTCATGGTTCTTGAGTTTGAGCCTTGCATTGGGCTCCTGGCTGACAGTGCAGAACCTGCTTGGGATTGTGTCTCTCTCCCTCTCCTTCTGCCCCTTCCCTGAGCTTGCTCTCGCTCTCTTTCTCTCTCTCTCTCTCTCTTGCTCTCTCTCTCTCTCTCTCTCTCTGAAAATAAATACACTTAAAAAATGGTAAGTGTGGAACCATCTTTGAATTCCTAGAGTAATACTTAGTCAAAGAGAAATTTAATATCTTGTTGAATCAATCTATGAATGTTTAATATAGGACATTTGTATTTACATTTGATCCTTGAACAGCATGGGGATTAGTAGTGCCAACCCTGCCTTGCAATTGAAAATCTCCATATAACTTGATTCCCCAAAACTTAATTCCTAATAGCCTACTGTTGACTGGCAGCCTTATGAATAATATAAATCACACATATTTTCTATGTTATGTGTATTGAATGCTATATTCTTACTATAAAGTAAGCTAGAGAAAAGAAGATAATGTTAAGAAAATTATAAGGAGGGGACACCAGGGTGGCTCAGTCGGTTAAGTGTCTGACTTTGGCTCAGGTCATGATCTCACAGTTCATGAATTTGAGCCCCACATCAAGGCTCTCTGCTGTCAGCAGAGAGCCTGCTTCAGATCCTCTGTCCCCCTCTCTTCTCTCCCTGCCCCTCCCCTGCTTGTGCTCTCATTCTCTCTCTCTCTCAAAAATAAACACATTAAAAAATTATAAGGAGGAGAAAATACATTTACAGTACTGTGAAAAACAAATTCTACGTATAAGTGGATCTGCACAGTTCAAACCTGTGTTGTTCAAGGGCCAGCTATATATTTATAGTGAATTTGGTCTGAGATTATCCTTTGTCTGAACCCTTAGTCTATATGTTAAAATTATGGACTATAGGCTATGGTGTTAGAATTATGCTAGTGTCATGAAATGAAAACATTTTCCAGTTTTTTCTATGCTTTGGAACTGTCAAAAAAACAAGGAATTATCTGTTCCTTGATGGTATGATAGAATTATTTAGCCTCTTATCATTTGGATCTGGTGCCTTTTTGAGGCATTTATCTTTCTTTTCCCATTTCCTCCATGATATTGGTCTGCTTGGATATTCTGTCATTTCTTTAGTTTTGCTAATTTATATTTCCTTAAAGAGCCATGTATTTCACCAGTGTGTTTAAATGTATTAGAACAGTGGTGTCTGGGTGGCTCCGTCGGTTAAGTGACCAACTTATGCTTGGGTCATGATCTTGCGGTTCATGAGTTCGAGCTTCACATTGGGCTCTGTGCCACAGCTCAGAGCCTGGAGCCTGCTTTGGATTCTGTGTCTCCCACTCTCTCTCTGTCCCTCCCCTGCTCACACTCTGTCTATCTCTCTCTCAAAAGTAAATAGAACATTAAAAAAATTTTTGTAAATGGATTAGTACAATATCATACACATTGTGTTATGATATTTAAAAATTTTTTTTTAAATGTTTTATTTATTTCTAGGAGAGACAGAGAGAGAGACAGCGTGAGCAGGGGAGGGTCAGAGAGAGAGGGAGTGACAGACTCTGAAACAGGCTCCAGGCTCTGAGCCGGCAGTCAGCACAGAGCCCGACGCGGGGCTCGAACCCATGAACCACGGGATCGTGACCTAAGCAAAAGTCGGACGCTTAACCGACTAAGCCACCCAGGCGCCCCTGTGTTATGATATTTAAAATCTTCATATCATTTCTCACATGTTCTTAATTTGTTTTGTCTTTTTTGGGGAGAAGTAGAGAGAACACATGAGTGGGGGAGAGGGGCAGAGGGAGAGAGAGAGAAAGAGAGAGAATTAAATCTTAAGCAGGCTGCACTCCCAGCATGGGGTCCAAGATGGGGCCCAACTGGGATCCTGACCTGAGCTGAAATCAAGAGTTGGATGTGCAGCCTTAGCTGACAGGCCAGCCAGGCGCTCATCTTTTTTTTTTTTTTTAAATGAGACTGGATGGTTTGATTTTTTTTGTCCTTTTTGAAGAATGAGTTTTTCTTATATTATTTCTATACTGTTTTTTCTACCTGTTCACTAATTTTTGTCATTTCAATTTTTTTTGGTGTTTTCAAATTCTAAAGATGCACTTATAAGTGCATTTGTTTATGACTCCAAAGTGACTGAGGGAGTTGTTTGTTTTTGTTATTTGTTATTGCATATTCTAATAGGATTGTGAATCAGTTCATTGAGAATTTAAAATTGGGCCACTGTTCTCTTCTTGTTGATATTCTATAGGCAGTGCTTTTAAAATTTTAGTGTGCATCAGAATCACCTGCAGTAAACAGTAGAAAATCAGAATCACCTGCAGTAAACAGTAGAAAATGTGAATGTTGCCCTATCCCTCACACTTCACTCTTTTTTAAACCAAAACTTCAAAATTCTAATGATCATTGGATAAAACCAGTACTTTGTTTTTACTGCCTTTATTGCCTTCAATGTATTTGATTACCTTCTTTGACAGTTACAGTTAGCAGTTTTACCAGTTTACTCTTTTTATTCTTCTTGATTGCTCTTTGAGTGTTTTTTCCAGCACTGCATTTTCAGTGTTTTGTGAACTTTTTCTGTTTTTATCTCTTTGGTTCCCTTCTTCTTTCCATTTTTCAAAAAATGAGGGAATTTTATTTTATTATTTTAATGTAATTTATTGTCAGATTGGTTTCCATACAACACCCAGTGCTCATCCCAACAAGTACCCTCCTCAGTGCCCATCACCCACTTTCCCCTCTTCCCACCCCCATCAACCTTCAGTTCTCAGTATTTAAGAGTAAAAAATGAGGGAATTTTAAAGTAGTTATATAAAATATTCAAGTATTTTATGAGGGAGACACTCCCCTGTGGGAATTTTTGAATAGGTACAAGTTTTTTGGAATGTAGTTTTGGAACTTGTATCAAGTTTTATACTTGTTTACTTTTTTTCCAGCTGTGATCGATTATTAGGAAATAATCCAAATTTTAGATGTATGTCTGTGTATAAAAGCAATCAGTTTTATTTCTAATTATGAAAAATTGGAAAGTTCATGTCCATAGTTAATGTAGGGTTTAAATGAATTATAGTATATCCATAGAATGGAATATTGTGCAGCTGTTAAAGTGTTACTGAGTGTTTTAGTGGTATGAGAAGGTACAAGTGCTAAAGGAATAAGAATCATGATTAAATTGTATAAATGGTTTAGTCTTAATTAGTTAAATATGTGTACTGTGTGTATGGGTGATGTCGGTATAGATTTATTAGGAATAGATCTAAGTATTTTCATAATCAGAAAAATGTACTGTAGTTTTGAAAGGTATTTAGAATTTGATAGTGTTCATCAGTAGAAATTATTAAGATAGGCTTGTGGTATGATTCAAACAGGCATGAGATTACATGGTTATTACCATGTTCAAGTTTTATCATGGCCTCTGGGTGCCTGGCTGGCTCAGTCAGAGGAGTGCATGACTCTTGATCTCAGAGTTGTGAGTCTAGGCCCCACACTAAGTGTAGAGATTAGTTAAAAATAAAATTTTAAAATAAATAGATTTTATCATGGGTAAAATGTAGCTACTAAATGTAAGACTGAACTAATGAACAATACCTTGCTGATTTTATAAACTTAGGGCTTTTTTATTATAAATATATGTGCTGTTGTACAAAGCTGAAATAATAAATGATACTTAAAGTGAATACTGAAAGTTCCCTGTGTATCCACTTATTTACTTTTAATACAAATAGGTTCACGCTGTATTATTGTGCAGTTTTTAACCTAATCATGTCATTCTTCCCTTAACTTGAAGACTATTATTTTTAAATATATGTGGGTTTAAGAGAAGCAGGTATTAAGAACAAGATCATAATGGTAAATTTGCCTTTGTTGACCTTTCTCCTTCATGAAATCCATTATTGAAAATCGAGCCTCTTTAAAACAGGGAAATTTTATAATTATATAGAACAACTAAGGTATTTTTTCCTTCAAGTTTTCCTATATTTGTGTGTGTTTTTTAAATTGTGGTACTGTATTTTTACATAATAGGTACAGGTACAATATCAACAGCAGCATGAACAACAGAAAAAAGATTTAGAAATCCTCCATCAACGAAACATCCAGCAACTACAAAACAAGTTATCTGAGTTGGAAGCAGCTAATAAAGACCTAACGGAAAGGAAATATAAAGGAGACTCTACCATCAGAGAACTGAAAACAAAATTGTCTGCTGTTGAAGAGGTATTGAAGTTTGGATTTGTTCCCCCCACCCCCAATTTAAAATAGTGTTTTAATATGGTAACTTTATTCGTTGTGTGCATGGTGTTTCTCTGATGCTTTGCAAGGATCTCTTGGTGGTATTAGGGCAATCAGTTCAGACATTGCAAAAAAAATTGAGCATCTAAAATCCGATAGAAAATGATAATTCAGAACAGAACTGAGGTAAAATTGGATATTTTCAGTTAGGGTCTTGAGGAGCAGACCATTGGCACAGTGATCAATGTACTTTTAATATCCTCCCAGTGTCTACGTCTCCATATGCTCAACGTTGACAGGGCTGGCTCTTTCAGCCTCCTAACATAGCAAACTATAGGAAGTTGTATCTGTAATAATAATAATAGCTAAGCTTACTGAACACATGCTGTGTGATAGGCACTCTGTAACTATTTTACTTACAGTAACCCATTTAATTCTTGCAACAGTTCTTTTAAAGAAGTTATTATTATCCCCGTTTTTCAGATGATAAGCTAAGGCACGTAACTAGTCACGTAACTAGTAAGTGCAAGAGCAAGGATTGGAACTCTGTTATTTGCTTGCCTTAATACTCCTTGTTCTTCAGGCAACAGAGACATTTTTTTAAATCTTGCTATAGTGACACATTGTTGATGCTTTGGCCCTGATAATAGACTCCTTCCTAGCATTATTATACATTGATGTCATGAATTCATCAGTTAAATCTCGCATATTTAAAGATCATCAGTATACTTGGTTACTTGAGCTCATGACCCTTCCAATTCCATTTCACCAGTCTCTTGTGCTTAGGAAACTCTAAAGCCTGACTTGAGAATTGCTGCCATTTATTATTTACTATGTACCAGGCATTAAGCTAAGCAAATGCATTAGGGTTTTTATGAAAATTAAGTAATTTATGAAGTGTTACTTTTGTTTTACAAATGAGGGAACTGAGATTTAGGTTAAAATAATTCATAAGATTAATCAGAAGGACCTAGATTTGTATTCAAGTCTATCTGATAGCAGAGTCTGCTTCTAAAACCACTATGGCATAATACTAGAAAATTATTTTATAAAGCTTTTGTTAAAAATGAAAGTTATCTAGGAATACTGTATACTGGGTTTGTGTATGCTGGCTGTATTTGGTTGATGTTAGCTGATCTGTCCTAGATTTCACCCAGTAACCTGTTTTTGTTTTTTTGTTTTTGTTTTTTTTAACAAATAGTTTATAGTCAAATTGGTTTCCATATAACACCCAGTGCTCATCCCCACAAGTGCCCTCCTCCATACCCATCTCCCCCCTCTCCCCCACATCCATCAGTCCTCAGTTTGTTTCTCAGCATTCAAGAGTCTCTCATGGTTTGCCTCTTTCCCTTTCCCCCACCATTTCCCCCCTTCTTCTCCCCCATGGTCCTCACTTAAGTTCCTCCTAATCCTCCCATACGTGCAAACGTGATATTTGTCCTTCTCTGCCTGACTTATTTCGCTCAGCATCACACCCTCAAGGTCCATCCATGTTGCTACACATGGCCAGATTTCATTGTTTCTCATTGCCATGTAGTATTCCATGGTATAGATAAACCACATCTTCTTGATCCATTCGTCCGTTGATGGACACTTAGGCTCTTTCCATGTTTTAGCTATTGTGGAGAGTGCTGCTAT